GGCTCAATGGGCTCAGAACTTTGGATAACGCTATCTGTAAAACTGCTACAGAGATTCCCAGGTTCCTTGTCTTAAATTCTGCACACGGAAAAGAATGAAACGACTCCATGTTGTAACTTCAACAGAATATATTTTGCTACCAGCTACATGATACAAGTATGACCTCTCTCCTACTCTCTCTAGCCATCTCCTCTTCTACATCTTACTCTCTCTACCTCTATCCAGTCTCAATTCTATATATTACTCTCCCCCTTCTACATCCCCCCCGTGGATTTAAGTTTACAGGTTTTTATGCTAAACTTTATCAGTTGAACTGTCCATCACATAACTTAAAAACTGATTGGTTACCTCATTACCTCTGTGCCAAGGGACTACATGAAGCAATGCAGAGGTGGAAATTGACGACTCAGAAATGCCATCATTATGTTATTTTTGGAGGCAGACTGGGACATTAAAGTGACATTCCTTTCACGTCAATTCAGAAATTTAAACTACTGTAGTCTAGCTTTTGAGAAATTATGTATAGAAAATTGTGGGAGTCATTGTTATCAATGTAGGGTGAACATGGTAGTAAGAAGAGACACATTTTTCTCTCATAATTATCTGGGGCAATCACAGTCTGAGTGGCAGTTACTGGCAGTGGCTCTTTTAAAAAGCTGTTCTCCAATTACAAGCAACTAGTAAAATGTTTCGAATACAAAGCAGGTGGAATTTTCTACGAGTTCATAATGGCCTACTGTATTTATACTGTGTATTACTGCAGGGAAAAAATCATCGCCAATCCCCCCTTCTTTCCATGTGCCTTCAAATGACATGAACATGAATGTGTCTGCACATGCATACACACTCACACACACACACACACACACACACACACAGACTTACGTATGTTCCTGACACATTATAAGCACATTAACCCTGTCTGATAAATCTGACAGATATGAAACTCTGACGGCCAAGAAAGTCCATTAGCATATTTGCTTAATGATCCAGCACGTGATCCATCACTTAGATATATATACTAACATCACAGTAATAGAGGTGAGTTGATTTGTGGTGTAACTTGCTGTTTAAAAGCAATCATGGAAATGTGCAGAATTTGTAGGATTATATAGAGTTTTAAACTCTGCAAAGCATTTAGTGACAGAGAGAGAGAGAGAGAGTGTGTATGAGTAGGTTCACGTATGTGTGTGTGTGTGCACGTGCTAAGAGAGGGAGAGAGTGTGTGTGTGTGTGTGTGTGTGTGTGTGTGTGAGTATAGGACAAACAGAAACAGGACAACAGTGTCAGAACAAAAAGTTGCAAAACAAACAGCCATTAAAAGCCATTAATTTTAAAATAGCCAACAAGGCTATAAATAACTTCCATTGGTTGTCTCCACTTTAGAAATATCACACAAAGTTGTCCACAGTGCATGTATAGCTGACATTCACCCTGTGGTCTGCAGTTACCACAATACCAGAGAATATTCATGTATAGAATAGATATTCAATGCCATGTTTGCATAATGAATAGGCCATATGGCTTTTGTAATATGTGCTCTAAAACAAAGGGATCAATACACTTGTCATAATGGATGGCACCAGTACCTGCAGATTTATTCTATTGACAAAGCCACCAGTGCACAAGGTAAGAGATACCAGTATACAGACTGCAACTTTAAACAGAGCTGCTGCCTCATTCACTTAAGAGCAATTTATAATCAATATAATAGCTGCATTTAAAACATACTTACAGAAGATTTAGTTGTGTGTTCACTTTGCAGAATTGTTTTCAGGCACATACTGACATTTAGTGAAAGAAGAGAGGGGTGACAGCTAGAAGGCATGGTTGGAATAAGCTTATTATAATGATACAAAATGCTGTAAGGTGAGTCAATAGCGTTTCAGGTTAGTGACATAGGATAGCGCCATATAAGGTATATAAGGCTTCGTTCACATGCAATGTCTATTTTCTAAATTCTATTTTCTATTCGCGCTATCTTATGATCACGGTCTGTGCACCGAATATCCCGCCGCGTAATTACTGGCAGCGCGAGCCAGTTACTTATAGTAACTTATAGTAACTGGCTCGCGCTGCCAGTAATTACGCCGCGGGATATTCAGTGCACAGACCGTGATCATAAGACATACCGAAAATAGAAAATAGAATTTAGAAAATAGACATTGCATGTGAACGAAGCCTTAATGTTGACGTTGAAATGTGACAGCCTTTTGAAACGGGACTAGGTAATATTACATGTACGTATGTACCGGTAGCTTGCCGTATGCTGATATCACAGAAGAGACCAGCTTTGTTTTATAGAGGGTATCTAATGCTGAAAAGTTTAGAGCTAAAAATATTTTGAATGCAGGAGGCTAATAGAGAAAGGACACTCTCAGTGACAGCTGTTAATAAGGACATAGGACAGCCAAGGTATCAGGAGGGGCTCAGATATCCCAGTAATAGCTAGTAGGGCTCTGTGGTACCTGTTGGGTGGAAAGCAGGGAATATGACCTGAAATAGACATATTCGTTAAGTGATTTCAATTAAATATTAAATTATGCATTCATCAGTAATATTGGATTTTTTTCACTGATTTCATGGGTATTTTTTTTTTAATAATGATATATGTGCTACAATACTTAGTTCTTTCTTTCTTACAACAGATTAGAAAATTGAGAATGAAGAGATTCCATGAAGAGTCTAAATTGGCACCTTTCTCTGGGATAAAAATTAATTTTTATACTTTAAAAACTCCCATTGAATGTATGGCTTGTGAAACAGATGTGGAAAAATATGTCTTTAAATATTTCATATATTGTCACAAATATGACGCATGTAAATACAACTAAGTGCTTTGATGCACTTTTCTTTATTATAAAGCACCTGAATAGATGGGGTTTAGTTTTTATATTGAGCTCTCTTTTATGTTAAAAAAAGTTTTTTTGGTATATTTTGTTCAGCAGTTAGTCAAACAGAAGAATTTCAGTGCATATATAGTGTAGATTTGTACTTGGTGTGGTATAAGAATAGATTGATATTTGTCTGTCCTCATCCCTGAAAACAAATACCACTTCCAGTGGCCAATATATGATAATGACCAGCTTTTATTACAGACGATCCTTGCCGTGGGTGGGTAAATCGGTCCCTGTTGACAGAATTAATGAAGTGACAATTTACTGATCCTTGAATGGGTGAAGTTGCGAGAAAGAATTGATTAACACAGCACCACTGAATCTCTAACCATTAGTATATGTGCATGTGTGTGGGTGTGTTTGTGTGGGTGTGTGTGTGTGGGTGTGTGGGGGGGGGGAGGTTGGAGAGGTAGAATATGGTCATTGCTTATAGGAAATTCAAACATGAATATATAATTTTCTCCAGAAATGTTTTACTAATTTAGTAATACTTTGAATAAAGTTGATCAAGACATTTTGAAATTAAGTAATTTAAATAAATATTAGTGGTAAAAGATTTGGCCTATTTTCAGACTGAATTAAGTCATCTTTTGCGAACCTGTCCTCAGTTGAAGAGCTGCAGCTTCTGGCTATAGCCTCTTTATTTTCAAGTTCCCAAGTGAAAAAAATAAAATAAAATGTGTGTTCCAGGCTAGTAACTCTGGTTACAGTTTGTATGCTGGCAAAAAAAGGGAAAAAGGAATGAGCGCAGTTCTAATTTGTTTAATTAAAGGTGCCCCTCCCCACCCCCTGGCTTTTATTTATGATAAGCATTATTTTTAATTTTTTTCTTATGTGTAATTGATGGGATCTTAAATTATTTACAATATTGAGTGATTGCAATCAACTTTTTACCAATTTAATGTAGAAGGATTAATACCAAGTTTATATTAATATTAATTATAAAAAGAAACAGCATGTTGTTCAATGCAGGGGAACAGGGGGCGGGGGATGCACATGCTCCAGATTCTGGTCTTCTCAACTTAATTTGAGAATGCTTAGCACTTGCAGCAAGTGTTTAAACAGATTCAAGGTAAGGTTGAAAAATTACAGAGTTGAACTCTCAACCACTTATATAAGGAGACTTGGATCCATGAGATTCATGGTTATAATAAGCACAGTTCATGGTCTGATGTTTTGAAGGTCGGGTCACAGATTATGAAAGCAGCTGACCTCACGTTTGAATGGGTTCAACCATGCGAACTAAGTTAGTAGTGCCAGCAGTGCAGTTATTTCTCTTATGATACAATGTAATATAATATACCCCGATGCGGCTGGGAGCACCCTGATAATCCTGAGGTCACTCAGGGAACATCTTGTCCTTGTTGAAGTGTTGGGGCAAGGTCCCAGTGAGTTGACTTGGAAACTCAGGGTGGATTTCTGGGGCAATTTACATAATGTTCCAGAAGGTGAAATCTGGGTGACAGGATTGCAAGGTGAATGTTTGTATTATTGAGGTCTGAGGGTGGAAAGTGGGGGGGGGGGGGGGGTTAGAGAACTGATACTTTTAAAATACATTAAATCTCATATTGACATACTAGGGTACATTTTAAGCAAGGCGGACTATTAAATCTCGATCATCTACCATGTACTTAGATGACAGACGGAAATATGTATACTGGCAAGTACATGTAACACAGCTTGAGTAAATTTTTTGCCATAAAATAATTGTGGTGTGACCAGAAATGTTTGTGCAGCAGTAGTGTGTATAGTAAGTGCAATATGAGATGAGAGGCATATGACTTTGTTTATATAACTGATCAAATTTCTTCAGCTGAGATGTGAGGCATGATTTCTTTTAAAAAAATATTTCCCTCTTAATTTGGCACTTCAAGCTATTTCATTAGTCAACAAAGTCTAGAAATAATTCACATATGACATTTAAGTACAGTAAAATGCCAGGCAGGTGACAACTCCGTATAGATAACTGCAATACATGAAGCATATTGATTATTATAATAGCAATTATGATAGACACATTCATTTTTGCAATAATGATTATGATAAATATTTTATGACTTCCAGTATATTAATGTGAGTTATTATTCTTATTATTACTTTCAGACATCTGCGGCTTGCTGATATCCTCAAAGTTTGGGAGTATGGATTGTTGACAGAGAAACAAGTGACACAATAAAATCTGTTACAGTAACTTCTGTCTGCCATGTCAAAGTCAGGAAAGTTATGACATCTGTAGTTATTTAATAAGGAACTAACTTAAGGAGCAGGTATTGAGTGATTCAGGAAATTTATGGAAACCGAAAGAAACTGTTGATCTGCTATACCCAATATAGACACTGCACATATATTCTCAGATATTGGAGTATAACTAATTAAAAAGCATAGGTGAGTGTTTGTAATTCATTAGATGGGCTTCACAATAATAATGATAATATGTTTTGTCCTAAAGAAGGACAGATAAGTATGATGAAGTATTTACTGGTAATAATATTTCTAATTAAATTATTTAAGCCAGGTGCTGTTGGAGAAATATATGACATTGTATGTTAAGGAATCTGGCTTATTAGTTGTTGATACAGGATTTCTTTTAAATTATTTGTTAATCAGACTAGTGATATTTTAGATCATTAAACTTTTGGACAATTACACCCCCGACCAAATTATTTCCTAGACCATTTATTATCATCTTCATCATCATTGTAATAGATCTTTTTCTCATTGTTTGAGAAATTGAGCTATATATTTCATGGTGGGCAAAAGTTTCTTGCATTGACCAATGACCTTCAGACTTTTTGAGTTTTGATAAAGGTAAAGAATGCCAAAGGTAAAGATTGTGCTTTTTTAACTTAAAGAGAATAATCTGTATAATATTATATGAATCCATTATTTGAAATGAGGATTACAGAAACAGATTTTTTTCTTCAGAGCTCGCCAGCTTGTTGATCTAAATTGCATAAAAAAATGGAACTGAATGAAAAGACAAAGATTTTAGAGGAGCCTTCCACAGGGGTGAGTGACTTGCCTTTCTTAATGGAGAGAATTGGCAATTTGTCAAAAGTTTGAAGGATTGAATATCTTTATTTATGGATCAGTGAATAAAACAAATTTACTAATTTAAAGAAATATATTTAAACAGTCTTATTTGAATGAAAGGAGTTATTACCTCATAGTCAAAAGCCAGACTTGTTTTTCTTGTCATGTGGGGGCACTTGTTGAGTTGATTATTGAATATCTGACAAAACCGTGATACTCATTTACCCTTTCACCAATTAGCTGTGAATACTGATTAAATTTGGATTGATTTTGCCTGCCCTAGCGGAATATCCACTTACTGAGTCAGGTGTGTAGAACTGAATTATAGATTATGAATCAAATGTCAATAAATGATCCTGTCTCTCTCAGTGCAGAGGACAGATTACATTTTTGATAATGTTTTAACTGATAAATATCTCAAATTATGTGTTTTTAAATTTTTGTTTTATTTATTTTGTTTCATTTTTGTTATTTATTTTATTTCCTGGGAAAATCCCATACTCTGCATGCATCTTTAAATTAATTTGCTACAGGTATCTTAATTGTGTAGGTCTGCATCATCCTGGCTAACACTCCTGGGTATAGGGTGACATTGATTTTGTTACTGAAAAGATAAATAAAATCTTTTATTTGCCCAAGTTTAATAAGTTCTATTTATTTATGAAGGCAAACACCCCTACAGAGGTTACCAGTGACACCTACCAGCTAATTGATGCACAAGATGGCGCTGGTGAGGACAGGGTCAAGAGGAGCACACTTCCAATGGCCACATTTAATTTTATCAATTCTATTATTGGATCTGGGATAATAGGTATGAAATAAATTAGAAATTACATTGCATCATTCTGTTTTTGGTTTGTTTTAGTTATGGTAACAAGAAGGGTTGGGTTAAAGTGTTTTTTGAGGAAAGTTCATTTTTTATTTCAACATTTAACACATCACTAAGAATATAACTAGTTTAAAACAATATATATGTGTGAATTACCATAGTATTTCCTCTTTCGTAATAATTTTATTAATAAATAAATAAGAATCTTTGAAATGTTTTCAAGAATCATACATAATTTTATGTAATATGAACATATATTTATAACTTTCCAGGAACCATATATATATATATATATATATATATATATATATATATATATATATAATACAGTGCCCCAAAGTTTAAGACACTAGAAATAAAAAGAGAAAAATAATTGGAAAAAGCTATAACATGTTATTTCTTGAATTAAAATATATTTTCCAGGTATGCCTTATGCATTGAAGCAGGCAGGAGTTGGTCTTGGGATCATCTTGATTATACTTGTTGCTATAATAACAGGTAAATGCTTCATTTTAAAGTCTGACACTGATTCTTTTAGCTTTGACACTTATCTTTGTCTCTCCATATGGCAGCATTTTCTACGATGTTTTTTTTTCTTTTTAATTAAAACAAGATGTAAAATCTTCATACAAATACATATGACTCTTGAATATTTGGTTTTACAGATTATTCAGTGATGTTGCTTATTCATGGAGGACAGATCTCAAACACAAACAGTTACCAGGTAATTGAAGTACTTGTTACAACATCAGTTGCCTACAGTGTGCACACATACAACAGTGTTATTATTCCAAAACACAGTGGACACTGAGTAGTTGTAACTGACTATAATCCCACTTATCCCACTTATCCCACAGGTGGTTTTGCGAACAATTATGAATGTGCTGAAGAATTTTTTTTACATTTGCTTTTTATGTACAGACACAGATGTGTCTGTACATATAGCCGTCATCTGCGTCTGTCGTCGTCGCCGTCGTCGTCGCCGTGCACTTTTACCAANTTTAACAAATTTATGTTTTTGAAAAAAAAGAAAATATATATATATATATATATATATATATATATATATATATATATATATATATATATATATATATCTTTAACAATGACAATTCTGTTATTGCAGGGTTTGGTGCAATCTGCCTTTGGAAGACCTGGTTTCTTCATCTTGACTATAATGCAGTTCCTGTACCCTTTTATTGGTGAGAAATATAATATTGGATTATTTGATCAGATCAAAGCCAAAGCCCCCCTTCCTTGGCGTGAGGTTAAAGGCCTACTGAAAGGCCCAAAAAATTTTGTTATCTTAGAGGGCGAACAGTGCGCAGGTGGAGATCCAGGATTATTTGAATGGGGGTTACATTTTTTAGGAATGACGGATAGGACGCGAACCGTTGGCCCCTATTGGAGTGTTTTGGAGGGCAGTGCCATTTGGTACAGTTGAGAAGTATGAATCATCTAGTCAAAATTTAATTCCTAGAGGGGAATATTAGGGTGATTGTTTTTCAGAAACCTTAAGGGGGGTCAGCCCCCCCCCCCCCCCCCCCCCCCCCCCCCCCCCC